TTCGCAGAAATCGTTCTACTTCTCTAGCTGTCTTTGATGTTGTTGGATCTATTGTTGTAGGATTCGAGAAAAGTGTGTACACTGTCATAATGCTTTTTGATTTGTCTAAGGTTTTCCATTGTGTATCACACAATATACTTTTTGAAATATTGTATTTTTATGAAGTTAGAGGGGTATCTCTATCACTCATAGAAACATACTTTTCAAATAGGTATCAGGCGGTTTCATGTGATGATGTTACATCAAACTTTGAACCTGTTGTTCCACAAGGTTCGATACTTGGGCCCCTGCTCTTTGTTATTTATGTTAATGACATATGTAATTTCACGTCTCCTTATAAGTATATTCTGTATGCAGATGATACAACTTTGATATATAGCGATCAATCATCATTCAACATTCCACAAGTAATGAAAGAAGTTGAAAATGAAGCCAACACTTGGTTTCTAGCAAATAAATTGAAGATAAACAGTGCCAAAACTTAAAATCTTGAGTTCACCACTGTAGGTTCAGTTAACAAAAGTGTAAAATTACTTGGCATTACTCTCGACAGTACTTTATCTTGGCATCAACATACAGATCTTCTCGCAAATAAAACATCTAGTGCGAAATATATCCTTCGTCAACTGCAAAACATCACAAGCGGTGAGATTCTGGAAATGATGTATTTTGCATTATTCCACACACACACATCAGCTGCAGTGTTGTTCTTTGGGGGAAACTCTGCTGATTAGATGATAATTTTCAAACTACAGACAGAAACTACGTTATTAGCCATTTTCAAGAAAAACCCTGAAACACGTAGAATTATGCATTCGAAAAGACACTGTGACATAAAAAATACCCCCATCTTCACCCCCTCAACGTGACAGCCACCCCCAATTTTTGTAAATGCAAAAGGGGGTCAAGTGATACCTCATTTTCAAGGGTTTTCAATTTTCTGTACAGCCATATCTTTATTTTTCAATTGCATGCATGCGTCATAATAATACAAAAAATTCAAAGTGTTGAAAGGTATCACGTAGTTATTCCATTGAATCTGTTCGCTGTACAATATGCCATACACCTTAAATTTTTTTGTTTGTTTTCACCAACCTTTGTTTATCAGCTGTGACAGTTGAGTGAAAAATTGTATGTTTTCTGTGAACTTCCTGAAGAGAAACAGTTTTGCAGTTGTTTGTGTTTCCTGTTGAGTATTACTTTCAGACAATAGGCTAAAAGTTCTAGCAAAGTCTCATTTGACTGAACGTCAAAGAGAAAAAGTGTTAATACTACTAAGATGTGGGGACAAAACTAAAACCCAGTAGAATGTAAGTGGAATGTTCAATAAGAAATATCCTGAATATTACTGGAGTTTTTTCCCAACACCAAATCGTTATTTTTACACCTCGACACGTGTTTCGATCACCAAGTGATCATCTTCAAGAGGAAGATAAAACTAATAATTATTCAAAACTAAAGCTACTTATACTACATCATACAATATTATTTCAACAAGCTATGTTGGGTTCACTGATTACTACAAAAAGACACATTGTAAATATATTTAGATAGGCAATATTGTGAAAATAATTTTATATAGCTGAAAATTGTTTTATATATAGCTGTAACATTCAAACATACATAAGGACATATTGTAAATAATAGAAAGGCCAATTGTAAAATTAATTTAGGGTGGTACACTTGTATGGGTGGTATTACTGATTACCTACCTGTATGATGTACCTGATTAGCATAAGTAGCTTTAGTTTTGAGTAGTTATTAGTTTTATCTTTCTCTTGAAGATGATCACTTGGTGATCGAAACACGTGTCGAGGTGTAAAAATAACGATTTGGTGTTGGGAAAAAACTCCAGTAATATTCATCACTACACCAAAGGTTCCAAACAGTATATCACAAGCAAGAAATATCCTGATCATCACATTTTTCAATCTACCTTTAGTAGAATAAAAACGAAATTTCGTGAATTTGGGACTGTCAAAGATATTTCAAAACCATTCAGGAGTGTATTTATTGAAGATGTGTAGAAATTAGATATTTTGGTAGACATAGAGGAGAATCCACATTAACGTATCCGACAACTTGCCGCCGATTACGACATGAGTCAAAGTTCGATATTGAGTGTTTTTAAAAGTGAAAAGTATCACTCTTATAAGTATCGTATCGTACGTAAGTAAATTATCGTACAATTGGTACATGACCTCAACGAAGACGATCCAGGAGCTAGGTGTCTGCAGGATCCTTCGTTTAAGAAAAATATATTGTTTTCTGACGAGTCAATTTTTTTTTTAAATAGAACCGTCAACAGACGGAACAATCGATATAGGAGCCGAGAAAATCCCCATTGGATGATGGAGGCCCAAACTCAATATCCCAGAAAACTAAATGTTTGGGCAGGGATTATGAATAATCGCATAATTGGACCATATTTTTTCAAGGAAACATTAACCGGTGAACATTACTGGTAGTTTTTGACTACAGTTCCAACGCTGAAAATACTCTTTTCAGATAATGATAATCCGAATCAAATAGATAGGAGTATCTAGTATCAGCAAGATGGTGCTCCACCACATTTTGCAGCTGACGTTTGTGCATATCTGAATGGAGTTTTTCCCAACAGATGGATTGGTAGACGAGGTGCCACAGAGTGGCCAGCCCGTTCTTCCGAAATGACACCGCTTGACTACTTTTTGTGGGGTTACTCAAAATCCAAAGTATACGTCAACAGACCAAACAATATTGAAAGTTTGTAAATCAGAATTAGAGAAGAAATAAAACGTATCATTTCCGAAACCATTCAAGATTTTGTTGATGACTTTCAGCAACGCCTTTATTATTATCAAGAAACAAATGGCTGTCAGGTTGAACATTTGATCTGAAGACTTCCATTGGTTGCACATTGATTGCTACCGCTTTAATAGATTATTTAGATGACACAATTTATTCGATTGTTTTTTTACGCATGCACGAAATTAAAAAATAAAGATAAGACTGTACAGAAAATAGAATACCCTTCAAAATGAGGTATCACTTGACCCCCTATGCATTTAAAAAAATTTGGGTGGCGACTGTCACGTTGAGGGGGTGAAGGAGGGGGGATTTTTTTATGTCACAGAGTGTCTTTTCGAATACATAATTCGACGTGTTTCAGGGTTTTCTTGAAAATGGCTGATAACGTAGAAAATAAATTTATCCGTTACATACGTGCTCACTGTATATTCATCAGACGCTACTGGAAATCAGAAAAAATGCTCATTTGCTAGAGAAACAGTCTGACATACATCAACACTTCACGAGAAATGCGGACAAGGTAAAAACATGATTACAATCTTTTCAAATCTCTGCCAAATAGCTTTAAAGAGTTCAGTATCACCAAATTCAAAAGAGCTATCAAAGACATGCTACTCAACCAATGTTTTTACTGAGTCTCGAAATACTACAATCTCTCTCTCTAATTATATGGACGTTGCTTCCCACTCGGGCGCATTTGTCCAGGCTCCTCCTATCAAATTGACATTAATTTGACAGAAGCTTCGTCGGCAGGGGCGCAGCTGTCTTGCTCGAAGCAATGCTGCCACCCCTTTTTTGTCACACTTTTTACAATAAAAAAAACAATGTGTTTTTTAAATGTCGCCTTCTAATCAGGAGACATTTTGATTTACTACGTATATATTTATTGGGTCGCCTCCTTCTCGGGAGACCTTCTGATTTTTGAATTCACATATATATGACCCCTTTACGTGGTTATCCGAACCACCCCGGCCTGGATACCGGCGTGAATAAAGGGGTCCTTAAACTTCACTTCCACTTTAGCACTCCCACGTGGACATCCGGTCCACCCCGGCCTCCAACCGGCGTGAATGGGAGCACTATTTAATTAAAACCACTAAAACAATGTAACAATGTAACAATGTACTTTTGTAACTTTTGCTTGCACGTTATATAACGGCGGACATACACAACACGAACTGAGTTCCACCTCCAACAATGGCGTCCGCGTACCTTCTTTGTGAACGGTCGCTATCGGCACGTCCGTTCACCACCATGTCAGAAACGAAACTGAAATACTACAATGATTTTTGACAAGTTCACGTCAGTTATGTCTACTCGACATGAAACGTACTCACCGGTATAGATTGTATTGTGGTAGTTTGTAAATACCCATTTTAGAATAGGTGAATATTTATTTGTTTATATATGTACGTAAGCAACCCCTGCGCTGCTTATTATTTTAACATTTTTACAATTTACCTCTTTGTTTTATATGTTTATCTAAGAATGCCTGTACAACTGACGGCACAAACATGGAAAAATGTAACGTAGTTAATAAACTATTCTATTCTATTCTAATAAACTATTTTCTACTTGAGTCGCCATTCATTATCGAAATTTCGAAAGCGGTTTGTAACAATATCAATAGTGACAGGAAGGCTCAAATAGAGTGTGAATTTTTTTGAGGTGTCATTTCGAAATCTAAAGTAGGGAATAATTTCTGAATTCATCCTTTAATTCATCCTGTTCCCATTTGTACTTAACTGATTGGTATATCGTGTTTTAACAAAATACTCTCAGATCCTGATATGTGAAAGTATTCAGAGTGACATGAAGACTCAAACAAATTGGAAATTTCGAGATGGTACCATTTCAAAAAATCAAGTTGAGCGAAGTATCTCAATAAATACAATGAATCCAACGATTTCAAACACTATCTCAGGAGGGCAGCCCGACATCTTTCTATACCTCTTCTTTCCTTTCTTCTACTTCTCTAAACGTATCTGAACTTTTTCCACCCGATGAAATTTGAATTATTATGACAAATAAAGTATCTTCAATTCAGTTTGGATGTGATTGCTTTTACTTTAAATGTTTCGGAAACAAAACTATCACAAATACTGAAATCTTCATCAAAAATACATTCTTTATACCTAGAAAAACGTCATTCACATACTCAATAAATGTTTGTTGATACCAATCGAAACAGAAATACCTGAACTATATGATTAATAGATAATTTTCAAGTGATTGAATCAGTATATAAACGAATAGACACAAATTAATTTTCGTTGGTTTACTTACTCTCTAGTGATTTGACTTGAAAGGAAGGTGAGTAAATTTTCAAAACTATCATGCTGAACCACTTCACCAAAATATATCATCAATTTTTTCAGTTCCATATGTATCAATTCGTAATGAAAGGAAATGAATTTCTCTTTTCTCATTTTTCTGTTGTTAAATGACGACAACTCCGCCGAATCCTATTGACGATATTCATGAGAAGAAAATATTTATTGAACAGAAGTCAATTTTTGTGGTGAAAATCACACCTGTATGGAAATCTCCATTGGAATTTTCATTTTTTTCTGATTGTAAGAGATAAAGTTCCCAAAGATCGATTGATAAAATATAATTTGGTTTTAAATTTTGGTGATTCATTTTGTCTCTTTTCACTTTCCATAGATTGGCGAGTGTCTCTTCATGTAATACCCATGATAACTCCACAAATAATTTACCAACAATAAATATCGATCAGGTGAATGAAGTAGATTTAACGAAGCTGCGAGGAGACTGGGAAATAAATTATTTATCGGTCCTGACCATATACCTATTTTCATAGTTGAAGATGGTATTTACGGTCTACTGACTCCCTTACTTCATATATTTGATCTTTCTTTGAAAACTTGTTAGCTTCCTGATCTTCCAAAAAAAGTTCGAGTGTGCCCAATTTACAAAAAAGTTGATATTATATAAAAAAAAGAGCCATTTCAATACTAAGCAATTTCTCCAAATTATTAGAAATAATATTAACCTCCAACATCTACAGTCCAAAACTAATTATCATATCAGATGACTTACATACGGTTTTGTACTAAACAAGTAGTGTATAACCAATCTTGCATGTCTTTCACAATGTGTATCTGAAGTTTTGGATAGTTGATGCAAGTTGATGGGGATTCTGGATAGAAAAAATATATAGAGTATGAAGACTTCAAATCTGCTTTATACATATACTCATAGTTCCGAAGTGCCCGAAGGCTCGAATTCAGGACCTGTTTTGTTCCCAACCCATTAACGCCCAAATTATTATTTTATTCTGATTAAACCGGAACCAATTCAATTATGGGAGTTTATAGTCCCTAGTTGCACAATATAGTTGTGGATTTCATTGACATCTGATAGTTACCAAAAAAATATCTGTCATCAAAAGAGGACACTGGGCATAGGCGATATTAACGATAAGAATTTGCAGTGCAACAAAATGTTATTCATTCATGATAATATACGAAAGCACAAAATGAGTCAAACGTCCAAAATGAAGCAATAAAAATTAAAAAACAAAATGGAGATTTTGGACAAATAAAATGAAGATCTCAGTTATTGTTTATAAACAATATTTTTTGTCTTGGTATCGGCTGAAACAAGATATGCACAATGTGATATTACATTTTTTGCAGAAAGTGCGTGGTTCACTCTGGCAGGACATTATTTGACATCTCTGCTTTTTTTCGCGCTTTTCAATAACGTGCCCCAACCTGTCGAAACGTATATTATCAAATACTTTGGGCCTCGATGTCAACAATAGGCTGCTCGATTTACCTCGTTGAATTCGGTTTCCATGACCCAATTTCGAATAATTTGTTGCAATGTTCCTCCTGAAATCTTTGATAGAGATGGAACCCACACCATGAATGAGTATATACAGGGCTTTTCATGATGAGCGTTGATTAGCTGTTTCTGACAAACTATTTACCGGATCAACCTGAAAATTTCACAGTATGTATAAATCAATATGACCTACACGCCTAAAATATTTCAGACGAAGTGGCGTTGTCGCTTCTACTATACAGTAGCGGCTTCTTTGATTTTTCAAATAGAACACCCCGTATATAATATCATATTATGATTCATTATCACTTTGTCAACAAATTCATATACTCTTTCTCTATACCTATCTATTACCGTTTAGAAGATATAAATTAATTTCGATATTTTTTTTACCAAACATGAACTTTTATAAATGCTGATAATCTTGAACTCTCTTGCACTAAAACGATCTGATT